TTTTCTCCCATTATTTGTGTTCAAATACTGAATTGTTCGAGTTGGAAAAGTTCAAGTACCAAGATACCACTGTATTTCATTTGTCATTTTTATGAATGATTACTTACCTACAGTTAAAAAAAGTTTAATAATACAGGGTGTCCATAAAGTATATGTACAATTTAAAAAATTTATAACTTTATTAGTATTTCTGATATAGAAATTATGTAGAATGTATTGGAAATAAGAAAATCTATATTTTTTTTATTGTTTTATTATATTTTATTAAGTTTCCACATGTCCACCATTATTAGTAATACAAAGGGTAATACAATTTTGTAATTCTCTAAAAACATTTGCCAATTGATTCACAGTAATGCCTGAAATCACATTAGTTATTTTAGCTTTCAAATCTTCTAATGATCAAGGTTTGGTTGCATACACTATTATTTTCACATTTCTCCATAAAAAAGAATCAAATGCAGTCAAGTCTGGCAAACATGGAGGCCAGGAAAATGGTCCACCTTCCAATCCATTAGTAAATAATTTTACTTAAAACATTAAGCTTTCTACTACTTTTTACAGATTTTTTCTATCACAAAAATACTAATAGTCAGTGGCATGCCGTGACATTTGATGATAGGGAAGCTGTGTTTCTATAAGAAGCCAACTTCCAGGGGCAATCAGTTAATTCTTTTTGTTTAAATGTATTTTTAATAGATTATTTATCTGACATACTTAATAAATAAACAAGTTCAATATAATTACCTCTGTTATTAGATCCAATATATTCCATATGCCCTCTAAATGCCAATTCTTGCTTTGATAAAAACATATAACATCTATTTATTTAGATATAATATATCTATTACCCATAATTATCTCGTTACAATTTTCAATATTTATTTTATATTATTTACTAATGTTAAATTCTATTCCGCTTCGATTTCCAAATTGCTTCAAATACGAAAGAATCGACGATTTTTCGTGTCTTTTGCCAGCTAAATTGTCAAAGACATTCTTATTCCACACACTAATTTCACTCTGTAAATGCATTTTTATGCATTTACAGAGCCATTTTATCGTGAAAATATCGAACAAATTTTTTTATTGAAGCGTTTATATTTAACTTAGGCATTGGCCTTTCTCTTTTAATAATGTTTTCTTTTTCATTATATGATCTCGAGCCAAAACTTTTTAAAAATAAATTTTCAATATCGCAATTACATTCCGAATCGCTAGCCACGATATAAGGGCTAAAATTAAAAATAAAATTATAAAAACTTACTTGGTAAAATAAAATGTGTGGTGGATATACATACCTGGTATAAAATATTCTTCAATTGTACTTTTGAACATACAGTACTTTTAAAGAAAATTATAATTAAATATAGCTTTGTAATGAAATGTACATAAAAATAACATAAAATATTCTTTACTCTTTAAATCTTAACCACTTAGTCAAATAGTTCCCTACGAGTGGAATCAGAGATGGTCCTGCTAGGTGTGCGGTATGTACATGCACGCGGGCTGCCAAATCCCGAGGGTGCCGATACCGGTCAATTTCAAATGCCTCTTTTGTTGCATCACTAATATACCCACTAATATATCTCAAAAGATGTGACAGGGTTCTTGTAAATTTTAAACGTTTCTCACCATAGCTGTAAAAGTCTAAATATGTTAAACTTAATAGTCATTTGTTTTCTAACTAATTCGTTTTAGGACCAGGTGTTGTCCACGAAAATTTCCAAAACTTACAACTTTTCGGTCACTCTCGTTGAACTGAAAAAATTTCTGTCTTTATTACATCTAATACAGTATTTCGAAGAAATCAATCCCCACTGTACTCGGCTATAGATTGGTTCGGTTAAGCTTTTGTTTAAGTAAAATTTCGGCTCTTTCATCAGGGTTTTGTTTATGTCCCCAATTCCCTAATTGCTTAATTATTTAACTACTACTTAAGTAGAAATAAGTTGAAACCGGTTACTTTGTACTCGAATATTTGTAGTCTCGGGAAAAAGTGGAAAGACAAATTTTTATGACAACGGATACATAAATTGTAAATTTAAGGAAAATAAAATCTAGAGCTTTTTTTGTACCTCATGCATCTCTCTCATTCATTAAATTTAGTTGTAAATGACGCTGTCGAAGTAACGGTTAATTTTTTAACATTATACAAGAATTGTACACGTTTTTTTCTACATCCCCTTAAAGATGGGATGTACGAAATCGTAATATCACTGGTTTAACATCGAAATCCGTGAGTAATATAAAATCGGAAAGCGGAATAAATATATCAAATATTTTAATGGATTTTTTTAACTCCTGTCAACTATACAGAACTATCGTAAAAACATACCAGTAAATTCTTATCGGTTGGGTTAAGTTATAAATCTACTCGTTATTCACGTAATCGAAATATCTAGTGGGCAGGCGGCTAACAGCCCAGAACCGGTCCTTGATAGAATTGGAATCTTTATATGTGTGCAGCTTTCACCCAAGGTCGTAGGCTTCCACCGGCTAAACCGGGTGAGGTTGGTGCTCTGTAAAGCGCATGCGCAAATCTGGCTTTTCGTAATCTGAAAATACAGGAGATTCCACTCCGCCACTAATATTCTAATATACAATAGCAATTTTTTTTTCACGTGTAGTATAGAAATTTGTAATAAGATACATAATGCGGTTATAATAAAATATTGTGCGATTATTTTCATATAATTAAAATTAATATGTATTTATTTTTTAGAAAATACAAGGGAAGCAGTGCATCCACCGCTCTAATGACGGCACGCCACTGCCAATAGTTATAAATTTTTAAAATTGCACATGGACTTTATGGTCACCTGTACTTACCTAAGAATGTTTAAATAAACTTTATTAATACTAAAGATTAATCTATAAAAAAAAAAAAAACACAATAGTCTTAAAGGCTAAAGTCTGGTTGATACCTGGTTGATAGGAAAGCTATGACAAAAAAGAAAAAAAATTGCATTATTGGTTTTCATTAAAGTAAACCCCAAGAAAGGCACAAAACAAATTGACAATTTCAATAATTAAAATACATGAACAAATTTGAAACAACATGCATGCTCACTTGAAGAAAAAAAATTATTGAACAACAGAATTTGTACTTAAAAACTTTGAGATTGTGTATGGAGGATTTTCCAAATTCTCAAACTGTTAGAGCAAAACCAGAAACCGCATTGTACAGGGGATATCCCCAATTTTCCAACAGTGTTAGAGTGAAACTGTGTTGTAGAAGTGCTGTGTTGCACAACGGATACCCGTATCTTCATTTTTTTAATATAATAAGTGTAATTATTTTAATATTAATTTATTTACTTTAAATGCTTTCTCTATTACTTCATAAAAAAAATGAATATACATTTTAGCTTCATATATCTCTTAAAATATATTAAAAAGACCTTTAATGTCTAAAATTTCATTTTTCTTGAATATTTGTACAGTACATTACATAACCATACAATCATAATAATTAAAAATATCATTTAAATAATTTAAAAATTGTCACACTTATACGGTACATATGGTTCTGTTTTAGACCATATAAGTTTGACAATTTTTTGGTATGATAGTTTTATGTCAGTAAATATAACCTACATGCGAGGAATTTGTCATATTACTAATTGTTGTTTTTTTTAATAATTTGTAGTATTGCACTGAAGATGGGCTTAGTATTTAAATAAGCCCGAAATGCATATGAGAAAACAATAAAAGAAGTGTCTAACCTGAAAGCTGTAATGATAGTCTACCGAACTTAATGGTCATTTGGATTAAAGACACATACATTCATAGAACATAATAACAGCTACCATAAGTGATATTTAGAATAATATGATTATTTTGTTTTGTAAGAAAAACACATTTAGAGAAAGATGTGAGAATATACCAAAATTAGTCATTTGACAGTTGATTTTGTAATTAAATAATAAAGAATAAAATCATATTGCTGAAAAAATCAAAAACAGATTATAATATTTTGTTAAATATTCATAATGCAACATAAACTTTTAAAGATTACAAAAATAAGTGCTCCAAAATTCACTGATAAATTATAACTTTACAATCTATAAGAAGAATCCTGTAAAAAAAATTAGATGAGCACGTAGTTCAGAATGTCCAACCATCAACAAAATGGACAGGAAGAAAGACATACAACTTGTTGATTACTATGTTTCCAAAATAAAACTAAAGATAACTCTTAATCTAACTGTGAAAGTGGTTTCAAAGGTATGGGTGGAGCTTTCTATAAACACTTGCAATCAAAAAAAACATTTTTTTCAAGTAAATTACACATATAGTTGTCTGAATATTCTAAAACAAGATTTTAAAAGTTGCTGAAAAATTGAAACTATGGATTATTGTATACATGGGCATTTGCAGAAAATTTTCTATGGGGGCAAAGCTTGGAGGCAAATAATTACATCAATAAATTTTCATTCAATTATTTAATTTTTTGGGATTATTTTCACAAGTAGAGTATAGAATATGGTATTGCAGTAAAGTGTCCTATGGTCAAGGATGTAAGATTACATATCTCAATCATTTTTACATTTTTAATTTGTGGAATTTTTTACTTAATCTCAGGGACGAGCAAGTGTCCCATATTCCTCCCTCTGCAGATGCCCATGATTAAATTTTATCAGCATAATGAACCTAAGCATAAAAATGTATTAAGAATATGGTTCTCTATAATTATCTAAAATTTAGATAATATATTTTTAAGATAAATAATAATTAATCCACACGAATAAAGGTCATTTACAATTGATACATGACATGTTTTTTGAACTACGAAGAGTTGGAAATAGTTATATAATTTTTATAACGCTTTTTATATGGGTTGCACCCAAAATTCTATATTTTTGGAGGCAACCCATATAAAAAGCCTATCAAGTAATGTCTCTGAAATAATGAAAAAAAAAAGTGTCATGTACTTACAGTAAATAATCTACAGTAATTGATTTTTTTACCTTTAAATATTTATAACAAATACATACCTATCCAAATATAAAAAACTAAGACCAGATAATATCGATGATTATGGTAACCGATACAGCAACCAGAAAACATGCAATGATGATCTCTCTTCAAAATACATTCATCACACACGGGACAGTGATAAGAACGGGGAGGAGAATTCAGTTGGCACAAGTGACAGTAAGTCCAGTTGGGTTTTAATACGGCGGGAAGATTGCTCTGTTTTCCCGATGCGTCGACACGTTTTAAAAAAAACATATTTCCAAAAATGTTGTATAGTATAAAGAATGCAAAACAAATATGAATGACAACGATTCCATCGACGTGCTGATGATAGAAAGGAATAATCACAAAAAGCAACCAGAAAGCGGCAAAAGGAATACCAACAGTCATCAATAAAAACAGACTTCGATCTCTTCGATATTTTGGCAGGATATCTTTGTTATGGAACGGCAATCCTTCTATTTTTGTTTCCATTATTTCCTATAGTCTCCCTTCCGCCGGGTCCGATTTCTCGTCTCCGCTACCGACAGGTGGCGTTTATCGATTTCGAAACTGCTAATCAATTATGATATAACATACAGTAATTGTATAACAGTTATGGATATTTTCACTTTTCGTGATCAATTCATTTATTAAATCGGCTTTAATTAATTTAATTCAAACATTAATACAGCAAATGCTATTTAATTAAAATCTATGGTTATTAATAAAATGTTGAATTGTCAAATAATTAAAAACCATTCAATGTCATTGTTATGAACCAAGTGATTAATAAGGCATACAGTAATTTATTATGCCCAGCCATTATGAATAATGACAAAAATGGCCGCGCAGCTTGATAAATATTGACTAATTTATTAAATTGACCAGACATTATGAATACAGCTATTGGGCAATTTGATTTACATATTTTAAAAAATCTCCACTTTTTTCATTAAGAATTATTTATTTTTTGTGAATTATTTCAAAGTATTTTAAAAACAACATGAGATCTTTTAAAAGTATTATTAACTGCATTAATTAATTAAATTAATGTTAACGAGAAATATTATTAACAAATTTATACTTCAATGAAAAAATCAACTTAAAGAAAACGTCTGGAATGTCATTTTTGTTATATAAAAAATGCATTGTTGTTAGTTTTAAAGAGAGTCTTTAAATCTTCCTCTGTATTAATTTTTTTTAACTTTTTCCGCCCCGTGGGCGCTAACAGGGCCTCTTTTAACTAGCCATTATGGATTCGGCCAGGCCCACAGGCCCACATGGAGCGGCCGGGTGATGAGGGACAGGGCCCGACATATCAAGTTTAATAGTATAAAGTCCATACCAATGTAAAGAAATTGTAAATTATAAAGTAATGAAAGGCAAGGTGTACTCGCATAGCGCTGTCAACAAAAGAAGTTGATGCGTAGATAGACAGTTTCTTAAAAAGAAAAATACAGTAATATAGAAAGTGCAATGTTGATAGAGAGAAATATTAAATATGCGAAATAACTTGTAATCCTTATGATAGCGGCCGAGATGTCAGAGTATCACCCTACTGTTCTGGAAGTCTTGGGATCGAATCCGGAGGGGTTGGAAAAGTCCCAGAAAATTTTCGAATGGTGGTTTGTCAGGATACGTTGAGCCCCATTCTTCACCACCCGCCCGCACCACTGAAGGCCTTGTCGAACCCATAATGGGCTTGCTAAAAGAGGTTTTCGTTCCAACTATGTCCTCTTAGTTCCAACTATGAAAGCTCTCGTGAAGACACAATAAAAAACTGCTGAAACTGCAAGAATAAATTAATAATTTGCTTATAATTTCTTATAATTAGCACTTCACTACAATATACGAGCGATGACCTCAATTAACGGCCATCTCGGATTTTAACCTTAATCCATGGCTAACGCTGTTGACCTCTCTCTATCTGATGTTTACTCTATGGTGCTAATGCATCATAAGATTTTTACATAAATTTTTATAGCCTATTTGCTAAAATCAAAGTGAAGAAACTCCTTTACGACAGGCAAGGTACTGTACTTATTATAAGGTGAGATAACGAACGTCTAATTTTTTCAAGAATAGGCTGTGCTCATCATTTCTGGTATATTTGTATTCATGAGTTATCTTTGTTTTCTGGGAGCCTTAAGACTTGAAGTCAACGTTAAATTTATCCTTAGAGACCAGTTGCGGTTTGTTGTTACGACGGCAATTACGTCATAGCTTTTCCGCTTATTGCCGTATCTTCGATAGTGGTCATAGGTTTGGCTAGACTGACGACGGGAATAGTTGAGTATTGAAGAACAGGACAGAATACACACAAGTCAAAGCATCCACGAAGGTATGATCAGGATTGAATCTACAACCTTAAAATTAAGTAAGATATCTATTGCCTCGAGCATCTGACAGTTAAAATGGACTATACATTTAGATAACATATTTCTACAATAAGTTTCGACCTGTATTTAAAGTTTTTTAAAATTTAAGATTATTTTTATGGTTTAATTGACGAAAAATATTTAAAATATGTCTATTTCCTTAGCAATTTACATAATATATTTACATAATAAGTATCTGATCTTACAAATATCTGTAATTTTTCAGATTTGTAATTGCCATTTTATAAGTTATTTCATCATATCTTAACTTATTTATTTACTTTTAATTTAACGTGTCATGCTTACCTAAAAATTAAGTAATTATAAACAAATCTATAATATATCTTTGTACAAATTCGTTAATTGTAAAAGAAGAGTATCTTTGATAATGACTAATATTTATGTACTAACAAGTTTAAACAAACGTTTTTCTGTATTATACATTAAATTACAATATATTCACAATGTCTGGATTTGACATACAGTATTTAAATTGTACTAACAATGGTATTTATTACCAATTTAAATCCGCAGTAACATTAAGGTACTGTAATAAGTCTTATATAAAATTTATGATTTGTCTGTAGATATTAACGCTTGTGACAGCTTGTGTTACAAGCTGTGTTATTAAGATACTTTTGCAATCATTACTGCTAAAATTCTGAAATTATATGACTGTCGGTGTTATCCTCATTTGTAAATAAACATATTTGGTAGAAACTTGTTTACATTTTACTTAGAATAATTGACCATAATAGCAGCTGAGATACATTTGTTCCCCTCCTAGTATTTTCTATGACAAGTCAACTGCATCAAAAGAGCAGAATTTTGAACTCGTCGTAGTTTTGTATTATAATGCATCTAACAATGGGGTTGACACAAAGGTCAAAGAGGGAAAAGGAAAACAATCTTTGCTGCAAAACAAATAATGGTCAATGAACATTTTTAGTAACATTATTGATATTGTTGAGATCAATGCATTTTCAATGTTTGTCTCATTTACTGAGTGGCCAAGAGATCATCTTCAATTTCTGTTGGTTGTAGGAAAGAAACTTATTTGACATATTCTTCAGCATAGCCAGAATATGGATCAAGCATGCAATAATTAAAATAATTTATTTTAAAAAAATTATTCCAAAGTCTAATTTTTATTTTTTATTTTTGTTTTTAGATATTAATTCTGAAAGAAGAACTGAAAAAGATATGACTAAGTACTTTTAAATGTAGATAACCATTATATTATTTAGATGAATCTTTGAGTCTTTCGATATAAATTAAATGCATTTCAAATGATTAAAAAATTGAAGGTTATCATTTCAGTTTTTATAGTTTATGTAAGACCCCGCTTAACGCGGTGGATGCGTTCCAAGACGATAAAGCGCTAAACGAAACAGCGTTAAACGAAATCATTTTAACATAGAGTAAATAGGGATAGGAAAACACGCGACTGAAAATAAAAAAATCACTTTAATTTTAAGTCATTTTTATATTAATTTGTATAATAATACATGTTAAATAACACGTAAACATATGCACACAAAAATGTATAATAATGTATTAATTAGTTCATTTTTTTGTAACGAAGGTCCTGACTTTTCTGAAATTCTTGTTTTTTTGCAATAAAGCCGTGAAGTTTTATTTGTCGCTTTTTTCTTTCCTTAAGCAAATGTCGTTAGCAGAAGATCGCATCCAAAACGCCTCGTTTTGCTTTTGCACTCCTAGATCATTCACTACAGTTTGATCAACGATTTCGGTTATCGCTACCAAACTTTTACTAAGGACCTTCTTTGGGTTCTTCGTTTTCAGAATCACTATTTTCCAGTTCTACGTGGATTCCTTGTTTTGCCAGTTCTCGAAGGTTGTCGTTGATAAGACTTTTCACCAGAAACCTGCAGTAACTCCTCAATATCCTGTTCGTCTACATCTCCTAGTCCTGCTATATCGATTAGGTTGAGTTTGATAAACCTAACGCTACAGCGATAGGCTCTTCTCGTTGAGAATTCTTAGATATCTTCAGCCCAGAGCCGGCCCTACCATAGGGCGAACGGAGCAGCCGCTCCAGGCGCTAAGTCCTAGGGGGCGCCTAGTGGTAAAGAAAATTAAATGGTACAAATTAGGGGCAACCAAGGGGGCGCCATAATAGGATCTCGCTCCATCCTAAAACTTTCCTCGGGCCGGCACTGCTTCAGCCATAACTTCTTCCACACTTCGTTCGTGCATTTATTAGTTAATTCTTGCCAAGCGAAGCCGAAATTGCCTATGGCATTCATGATATATTTTTTCCGAAATTGCATCAAACAAACATAGATTTAAAGGAAGTACACCTTTTTGCCCTTTTTTCTGATTGGTTCGTGTTCGCAAATAATCGTATTATGCACGAATCGCTAAAACGCCGCGATAATTTAAAATCAACGTAAATTTTGAGATTTTTTTTAGTCTTCGAGCAGACGGCGTTATATCGAATCAGCGTTAAGCGGGGTCTTACTGTATGTAAACAACGATAATCGACTTGCTAAATATTGATGTTTAAAATCCTAAAATTTTTTGAAAATTACATTAATTACCAGTAATTAGTCTAATTTTTAAATCTGGTAATTAAAAATTAATTACTGGTAATCAAAACACATTGACTACCAAAATCACAATAGATTATATCTTCCAACAAACTAAAAGTTTTAGAGATGATTAAATATAATCAAGTTTTTCTGAATAGAGACTTTAACTTATCACAGTTTGGCAAGACATGATAAGAGTTACTGTAGACCTAATATCTATGCTCAAGCAAAAAATGTATAAAATAAGATGAAATATATATTAATTAAGCATATTTTTAACAACAGAAAAGCAAAATCTTTTAAAATATCTATGTTGATGTGAATTTGAACATGTCTTACAATGTAATTTTTTATGATTAAAATCAGAATATTTTTTAATCTTAAAGTATCATTCGGGTCTCTAAGGCGATGTGATAAAAATAAATAGTATTTATCATAGTAGCTTTAATCGCACTGAAAGTTTTGAAATATCAAATAAAATGAAATAGGTGAATAAATTATATTTAAGTTATATTCTCTGTATACATCTGCATTTTATAAAAACAAAAATTAACATATATTTGAGTGCGTTTTTTATTACGGAAATATCAGAACGTAATGAGTTACAGTAGGCCTATATTTAAACAATCAATGGTTTTTGGCTGCTATGTATATCTTTTCTTATCTGTTGCCTATGGACCGATACCGATATGAAGTACTCGAAGAACAATATAGGAATCCAAAATCCGGATCTAACTTAAATCTTACGTATGATCAGGAAGCTTCATAAAGAATAATGTAATTAAAAGTATAGCCTAATACACTATCAACTAACTGTATGACCTGGTTCAATATTTGGATCGAATTGTGAAATGTGCTATATTAATTAATTAATTAAATTCATTATTTTTACTTATCCTAATTCAGTATCAAAGTTTAAAATTTATAATATAAAACTTAGAGCTTATTAAACGCACGTGTCTTGTTTATTTTTAAGAGTATGTCATAGATAATATCCCTTCCGGTAACTTATATTTCCTTTCCTTATACGTACAGTATATCTCACTTTTACTTTTTCAGTTGTTACAGAACATAACAGAGAGAAAGTATAGTGATTGGTCAGATTTTGACTCTCTCTTTCTTTTTCTTCTTTTTTTGCACCATTTCACGATTTACAAAATTGAATTTAAACTTAATTTCAAATATTATTGTACCCAAATCCGAATGAACAACAGCCAAGAAATTTTTCGTGGCCTGTCCATTTCAGATATATTGGGCCGACCCTCACTACCCAGCTGCCCCATTGTGGACTTGGCCGAACTCGTGGTGGGAATAGAATAATCGCTCTCTTAGTGCTCACAGAGCGGAGAGTCAAAAATAAACATTTCTATAAAAACAGAAATTTCTATCTTTTTCTGTTAATTTCTTTATTCTTTATTGTTTAGTATAACGTTTGGGATTAATTTATATTATCGTTTCATTTATTCACTTATTTTTCGCATATATTTTAAGTATTTAGACACTGTAGTGAAGAATTCTTTTATTGCCATTTCGCTTAATACTAATTCCGTTAGGTGTGTTCATACTGTTGAACTGTATAGCCTGTATTCTCTTTTTTCACTTACCATTCCAAAACCATTTTCTCTTCCATAAATCAAAGTCTACATTCTATTAGCCATAAATTTTTAAACATATCTATACAGTTTTCACTAATGATAATAGTTACAAACTTAGAACAATATGATGATAAAGTTCATCCGACGCAAAATTTTAAAATAAAATTATGGAAATTTGGTCCTATAAGAAAATTGATTATTCTTGAAAAACTATACTACAGTAAGATTTCTCTAACTCAAACGTCTGTAACGCGAAAAAAAAAAAAAAAAGGAGAATTCGTTAGGTCTCCATAGAATAACATAGGGATTTAACGTCTCCAACTTGAATTCTTTAACACGAATTTTCTCAAAGTCGAAGGTTTTCATGGTCCCCCAACATTGATTTATGTTACTTTCAACTTTTCCGACTCGAATTTTAATATTTATTCTATCCAAACTGATATTCATTATCGAATTTCCATGAAATTTTCAGACAGTTTTTTGTATCTACTGTCCTACACCTATTTGCAGACGATGATCCAGTCCAAAGCGAGAGGACCTCTTACTTTATCTCAACAAGATGTACCTGCAAAACTGTTCGATTAGTTACATTAAACATTACGCTGGAAGGCGATACACGGGCCGTTAAGAAAAAAAAAAAAACATTAAAAATTCTTTGTATAATACAAGAGAAATAAAAATACAAATCTATTTAGAATCGGCTTTTTCACTCTTATTCTCTAACTCGAAGTTTTTCTTGCCCTTTGGAGCTTCGAGTTAAAGAAGTTTTACTGTAAATTGTTTTATTTATGTTATATAGCAAGAAGGTGCAAAATCTTTAGTCGAAAAATATTAAAGCAGTTTAGAGCTGATTTAATATTTTCGCCCTTTACGAACAAAAAGCTGTTTCAACATTAGTAGGAATATAATCAGAAGAACAATAAATTTTTCTACATATAAACAGCAAAACATGAAAAATAAATATATAAAAAACAAATAAAATTAAATTAAAAAATGAGAAAAATTCTGTATTCCACGAGCGTTTATTACTCTATGATTTAATATTTAACTAACATATCTTATCGAACAAGTCTTTCTATGGAGGGTGTCAAGAAATTAGGCCTCCAGTATGAAATGGATGGTAGAATGAGTCAATAGACGCGATTTTGGTCCTATGAACTGCCGCAGATCCCATAAAAGATACAAGCTCCTAAATTTTCGGTAGTGGTTGCTGCCCTGTGATGCACAAATATCATACAGAGAAGCTTGACTTTACAATTCTTTTTAACCTCCGCCTACGGGTACTAAGAGCTTACAGAGTGGAAAGTATTAAGTGGAATTGCATATCAACTTTTAAATGGATCAACAGTAATAAAAAGATGATAGGCAGCAAAACTGCCTACCATCTTTTTATTATTGTTGATCCATTTAAAAGTTGATATGCAATTAAAAGTGGGTTATCAATACAGAAATACCGTAACAATTTTAAATTTTATATAAAATGCATCCTCCTATATAAAATATTTTAAACCGTTATTTATTCAGTATAATATATAACAAAGCCTTAGACTTTGTTCTAGTTTTATTTTCTACCAGAAGTTTTAAATTATTTTAAACTAGGAATAGTTTTTTTTTTTTTAAATCTAACCGAGAAAAGATTTTTAACGCATTCTGTATTAATCTCCCTAATATGATATATTTTAAATTAAAATAATTTTGGGAATAAGTAGTACTAATAACTTTTTAATCTAAAACGTAGGGATAATAGAGCACAGCAAACGAAATCGTACCGATAGCGGCATTTCGCTGGAGCAAAAGAATAGTCTCTCTATATCTAGACTCTTAATATCACTCAAAATTAGTTAATTGATTAACATTTAGAATTTGACCATTTATTAATTTTCAGTTTTATTATCTTAAGAAAACTTTCATTAGTATTGTTTACACTATGCAACGATGGTTTTATCGATTTGTGTATGTATTGTATTTCGCGAGAAAACCTGTCTCTCAGGGGGTTCCCCAAAAGCTGTTTTCTTAAAAGCTTTGTGATTTGATAATTAAAAAAATTAAATTAGGTTTATCTACTTCCATTTTATTTGTACTAAAAGGTTAAAGTGATAAGGTGGTTTTAATGAAAAAGTCTAGTTTGTTTTTATTAGTTTCAAAAAAGTTTATAAGTTTTTATCATTTTGTCTTATTAGAAATTAAAAAAATATATATTATGATTACAGATACAGACTGTATATTGTTTCTTACAAGAGAACCACTATTAACCACGAGAAGGTCCCAATGTCCTACATCTAACTACTGGAGTCTGTATTAAGATATACTGTAATTATATAACATGAAATAAAAAGAAAATTATATATAGATCTAGTTATAACTTGAATATCTATCACTATAGTAATTTAAAAGAAATCAAATTTTGATTACTATACAAGATTACCTATTATAAATTAAACTTTAAAAATTAATTCCAATTAAATGCAGACTTCATATTTACAATATGTTGTGTGTATGTATAAACTGTACATATACACAATAATATACATCATATTCAAATATAAGCAATTAAAATTTTTAAATTTAATTTTGCAACATAATTCAAATTATTATGAAAGATATCTATTGATATTTCAGAAAGTTATGATATAAATAAAAAAACTAATTTACAGTTTGTTTTTGTAATTTAGATGATTTGTATGCTAAAAACATTAATAAATACTGTATTGATTTCTAATACACTATTAATTTTAATGAAACAAATCTTGCAATTATAAAAACCATTTTGCATGTTAGGCACATTTTAACCTTATAATAATTAAATTATAAAAACTTAATTTAAATTATGCTAAACAGTGAAAATTTCAATAAAGTTTATTTAACACTTTTTTAACAGAACAATTGTTGTACTTTGTACAAAACTATTTCTACTACTTAATAAATATTCAATTTCTTATTTTATACAATAAAATCACAAAATTTGAATTTGGTCCTCTATAATTATGATACTTTTTCAAACAATATAATATGTAGAATATATGGATGGCATAACTTCAGAGAAATTACAAATAGCATTTAATACAAAGCTTTAATTTAAGTAGTTACGTTACAATTTTTTAAAACAAGATCCAAAATCTTATCCTTTTGAATAAACCAACTTTTTATGTTAATTATATTTGATAAACACATTAATTAACAAAATTAAAATACATTTGAAATTTTTGGATGGTTTGAAGATATAAAACCTAAACTAAACATCAAACTACCTTATTTTATATACGTTATGTATCTGTTTTAATATTTTTATTACATTTTTTTAAAATCTATAAACCTATAAGATTTCAACATACTTTTCTATTTGGTTGCATACTCTATTTTAAATCTTCATGCTGTAAAGCTTTTAATTAAATATTGATTAACAAAATATAAATATTGTAAAAATGAGGTAGTGATTATATTTACATAATTTTGTTCAATTAAACTAAAATTGAACAAATTCAATGCATTCTATTCTTATTTCACAACCTAAATGTTCTTTAGTATAGAGAACATACAGAATGTACAGTAAACTTATATTGTAACTGTGATCATCACAAATTAAAAGTCAATAAGATGGAAACGTGCTAACTTATGGCTTAACAAATATCAAAATTTTAAAATTTAAGTTTCATTTTATGCTGCTTAGTATTTGTTACATCTTCACTAACTTCCCACAATTTTTTAGCCAAACCTTGATCGTTTGCTACATCATTATATGGCTCCACGCTACAATTGCGGTAATATTTGCCAGATTCTTTATCCAGGTCTTCCGACACGGCGCAATGTAGAACCGTCTGACAGCCTTGTTTCGGAGTACGAACAAAAAACCAAGCCAGCGGAGCCATCATTAACAATTTATACCAGGGTATGTGAAGATGTCTTCCTAGGTTAGTATAAACGTGTCCCGGACTAACAGCGTAAACATTAACATTATTATGATGGAAGCGTCGATGTAATTCACGTACAAATAATATATTAGCAAGTTTGCTATTATTGTAAGCTTCCCTCTTATCATATTTCTGTTCTGAATTAAGGTTGTCAAAATTAATTTGTCCTTTTTTATAAAGTGCCGATGTTAAAACAATAATACGACTAGGCGCGGATTTCTCCAAAAAATCCAGTAACAAGATAGTTAACAAAAAATGCCCAAAATGATTAACACCCATTTGCATTTCTAAACCATCATCGGTAATCATGTATGGGCATTGAAAAATTCCAGCATTATTAATTAATACATCTATACGAGTTTCGGTATGCAAAACATCTTCAACGAATTCACGAATCGAAGCAAATGACGCTAAATCTAAACATTTCAATATCAACTGACCATTCTGGGTAACCTTACGTATTTCTTCAGCTGCACTTTGAGCTTTGACCAAATCACGGCATGCTAAGATTACCCTGGCATCCTTTTTTGCCAGTTCTTTTGCCGTGGCTTTACCTATACCAGAATTAGCACCAGTTATAACAACAGTTTTTCCTTTCATTGTGCGTTTTGCTTTGCATCTTCCCCACGTGTAAACCCGATATTGTCGTATCAAAATTAAACCGAGAATAACAAAGCACAAGCCAGTCAGGGCTGACGCCATTTTCTTCGCTCATTATGACGTCATTGGCAGAAAGTGGTTGGTATTGGTCGACGGGGAAAGTGTTTAAAATGACCAATAATAACCTTTCTTACATTTGTTACGCTCCAATACTGTGAGTTGTTTGGGTGGCCAGCTGAGAAGTACGCGGAACTTCTTCCGTGCTGGTGTATATGAACTTTTAGCGACGTTTAGCGAGGAAGTTTTATTTTTTTCATTTCTATTGATTATTCAGATATTATTCATAATGACTACACAAATATTCCGCAGTTTAGTAGGAGTTGGTAAGTATTTTTATTATTTTATGTTTACATGTGTTTTTTTAAAAATTAAGTTATAATTGCTATATGTAAACAAACCCAGCTTTCAGGAAAATAAAGTGATATTATTTTTACCAACTTATTTAGAGAAATAGGTGAAGGAAAACTTCATCTATTTCAAATATTCCTGATAGATAAAATCTGAAGGACAGTTTGTTAAATCTAAAATTAAAAGCATTTTATATAGAAAAAATTTTTAATTCAAATATGTGTGTTGTAAATGTTTCTAAAATCGATTGAAAATAATAACAAATTTTAATAAATTAAAAGCAAAATATTAAAAAGTTTACAAAAGTTAATACACAAAATATTGTTCTTGTTCACTTTTATTAAGATAAGCTATATTTTGAGTAGCTTGTTTTTAACATATTTAAATTTAATCATTTATCACAGTAAACATTTGTCAAAGAAATAAATAACTGACGATGTTTAAATTGCATTGTCAATGATAGAAATAAGATTATTCCTGATAACTTTACAAGTTTATATTGTATATTTCTTTGCAGATCTTATATTTCAGAATTTCTTAAGCGAAGAAAGAAAATAATTCCATTATAGTGCATTGTAAATAGACTGACGTGTTTGATTTTTAGGAAATTTACTATATTAATTTTATCAATATTATTAGATTTATACTAATGAAATGAAATATATTCATTCTAATTTATTGTTATTATCATTGTTTATATATATATAATTTAAACAACATCAACCTGATAATGATAGTATCGTTTGGCAATACTATCATTGTTATCCATTACTTTGACATTAATACCAATATTGACGAACTGATCTGAAATAAGGATTATTCTTCATAGAATGTAAAAGATAATATATGTTACTTTTCACATTACTATAATTTTATATTAATTAAATTATTCATTTGCTTTTTTAATGTATAAAACAGAATTCAAAATAAAGAAAAACAAAATAAACATGTTACTTAAAAATAGTTCATTATGAAATAGTAATTTGATGAACTTGTCGATAAATATCTCATAACAATTCTTTAAAACTTCAACTTTATTGCTAGTACATTTTTACATATGTAAGTTCTTTTTATATAACACTAGAAAATTTTTACATTCATCAGTATTCTAATCTTTAGTTATCAAAATAATGTAATATTTTAATAAATTAATTTTAATCAATTTGTTTATATTTTAAATTAGTATTATGATGTAAAGTTTCATAATACCTAATATAATAATTTATAGTAAGCTTGAAAATTTACATTGTTTTTCTTTTATTTCCATGTACTCTACAGTACATAATAATGGTAATTTATATAATTATATACACAATAAAAATATATTTAAATATAATTTAATAAAAATTTTATTATGCAACAATAAAAACATTCATAATTTATTAACAAATAAAATTAAGAAAAATAATAGAATATCAGATAATAGAATAATCTTTAACCTCTATATCTCATTAATGTTTATCAGTTTCATCCAGTTGGATATGTTATCTTTTCCTCTATATCTGTTCTCTTTTGACTTAAAAAATAGGTCATCATATTAGAAACTTAACTAGTGTATAATTTTATTTTAATATGTAAAAATAATAATTTCAACTATTCAAATAAATAATTTTTCAAATGTGTTTTGATCTAGTTTTCGATAGTTAAAAAAATTATTTTATTATATTAAATATCAGTTTTTTTTATTAATAACTATAAAATATGGTTTCTATTAATAAGGAAACAGGAAACTTTACTGGAGTTTTTCAATTATCAACTCCAGTAAAAATCTGTTTATTTGTTTAGTTTTTTGTATTTTTGGAGTTTACCTCATATTATATTAAATTATTATAGTTTTAAAAATTAGATACCTTTTAACTTTACTTTAATAATTTAGAACTGAAGTTGCTATTTAAACTATTAAATTTCTGTTGAAATTACTTTAAATCACAAATCTGAAATTTTGAATAATAATATTGATTCTAAATTTGTTTCCACTTATGCTTTCTCATTCAATATATTTGTCTTAATATAATTTTTTTATGACATGATATAAAAGTTTTGTTGCAATATTTGAATTTAAATTTTTCAGCAATATTATTATTTTATCCTTGTAATAATACATATATCCTAATTGGAAACAGAGCTGAAATTTACAGTTGGAAATTCCAAGGAAGATGTTTAAAACTATATGAAACTTTCTGATAGTAAAGTGTAAATGCTTTTGATGATTTCATATCAGTAAAATATATAAAAAGTGATTATACATTAATGCTAATATATTGCTATCATATGAATGCACTGTAAATGACATGCTGCATTGCTTTTGTCATTGTCATGTATTGCAACAAATATACATTGAAAGCATAATATAGAGAGTATTTAATGAGCAAGATATTAATATTTTTAATCTTAAACATTTTCATATTAAATTATTTCTTTCCTTATTGAAATTAAATCATTCTCAATAGGAAAATATTTCTTTTCAAGCATTACTTATAATATAGCTATTCTTAGTAATGGACTCATTCAAATGAAAAATAATTGACATTTTGATTAGTGAACTCATTCAAATAATTCACTCTCTTCTTCTTATTTATGTTTTAACCTAAACATAAATAAATAAAACAAATTTGCACAAAAATTTACAAAAATTCATTAGTCAACATTCAAACTTTTTGCATCAAATATCTACTTGCACCAAATTGTTCCCAAGTTGGAAATTTTAGTTCTTTGGAAATAGTTACACTAGACAGTTGGGCAGTTTCTTATATGATGTAAAAACCAAAGGCTAATTAAATTAGTTACAGTAGAACCCTGATTATCCAAGCCCTAATTAACCAAGGTTTTACACCATACAAGGCAAACCTGTAAGTAAATACACTACTTTTCTTACAAGTTATAAAAGCTTTGCCATGAATGAATGCCCTAACATGTAAATACTATAGTGCAATGGTTTTCAACCAGTCTGTCACAAAGCAATTTAAAATCTGCCATGAGATGAATGAAAAAAATTAAAGCAACAAATTTTAAAGTTTGTAAAACAAATGACAACCATTAATGAACCTTTAAACCCAGTAAAAAAACAACTATCAAACAAATGCATTTGACCTTAACCAAGGTCTATACCATGTTTGTGAACCAACTGAAATCTAAAATTGGAACATGTAGAACTGAACATTTTTGAAACATTAATTTTAAACATTTGGAATATATAACACATACAGAAACTTAAAGGTGAAAATTACACAAATTCAAAATATATATAAAAAGCCAACACATGTGCACATATTATTTTAGGATCTAGCCTAATAGCAAAAATTGACTTTTTATTATTTGCTATTATGCTAGATCCTAAAATAATATGTGCATGTGTGTGTGTTGGCTTTTTATATATATTTTGAATTTGTGTAATTATGTGATTTAAAGGTTTGTTAATGGTTGTCATTAGTTCCAGTAATTGAGTAAGAATATAATTTTATTTTGTAAAACAAATCATAAAATGTACTTTTATGTGTTATCAATTATTTCAGAAATTTGTTCCACTAAACTTTATAGAACAACTATTAGAAAGTGCTCCAAGATCAACCTGTTAACCAGTTCAGTAATATAAGTATGCCTTAAGTCCAAAAAAGTTGGAAACCACTGCAGTAATGTTTTTAATCTCAACTGTATCAAGCAAGTGGATGATGCTAAAGTAACTTTATTTTTTAAACTTCTGTTTGGGAACTAAGGCAGCTTTTTTTCCATGCATGTGATTCAGCAAAACTGACAATGAAGATGGATAGGGATATATTTGGATATATCCAAATATAACAGAAACAAATTAATAAAGACCTATCAACATCAGTTAAAATCCCAAAATATTGTTTGTGAGTGTCTTTATTATGTTTAACCAGTTACTGTAGTAGTGGAAGAAACAAATAATTTTGTAATACATGTTATCATTTTAAACCATTGTTAAAAACTCTAAAGGATATTCTGTTTTGTAGCAGTTCTTTCCTTCTTTGCCACAATATTTCATAATTTTCTCAGTACTATTTTTCATGGACAATCTGATTTGGATATATTTGGATATCCAAATATATATCCAAATCAGATTGTCCATGAAAAATAGTACTGAGAAAATACATGAAAGTGTAAATTTGATATATGAAAAGTGTCTTAGGGTATCAAACTATTATGTTTGAAATTTTGTTTAAAAGTTTAATGTCCAAAAGATCATCTGTATATGTAAAGTTTCATAATAATAATTAGAAATTTTTATTTATAAATATTGGGTTGTTCGGAAAGTAAGTTCATTTTTTTTCCATGGAAAAAAACATAATATTTTTATAATAAATAAATATTTTATTGAATTATATATTGACCATTTTGGTCAAATATCTGTTGTCATTGTTTCTGGTAGTAGCATGATTTCATATTCATAAAAGTTTTGATCCTTGCTTAGAAAAAACTGATCCAAGTGATTTTTGACATTTTCATTTCAAGTAATGTCTTACAGTTAAAAAAAATTTGTATAGACTGGAACAAGTAATAATCTGAGTATGCTCGATCTGGTGAATATGGTTGGTGTGATAGCTAGTCCCATTTAAGTTATAACAGTTTCTGAAGAGTTGCCAAACTTGTGTGAAATTTGACATTATCGTGGTAAAACACTACACCTGTTTTGTTGATCAATTCTGGCCATATTTTCTGTTTGATGATATTACTGAATTTGTTTACTGGATGGCAGTACACTTTTGAATCACTTGTTAAATTGTCTGGTAAAAGCTCCAAAAAAAAAAAATTATTAAAATTTCACCAAAAAGAGCATCTCTCTTTAAGAACATGTGGAACCCATATATCGAGCTTTGAAACAAAACCAATCTGTTTCAAGTAATCATAAACGGTTCAATTTGACAAATTTAATCTCTTATTGATTTTACGTGTTGTTATTCAGCAGTTTGCTTCAATCAGTACCTTTATTTTGTTTTCATTGGCTTCAACTGGCCAT